TCACAGAGATCCGCCTGCCTCTGCCTCCCGAGTGCTGGGATTAAAGGCGTGTGCCACCACTGCCCGGCACAGCCAGTGCTCTTAAGCACTGAGCATCTCTCCAGCTCCCCTTATCAAAGGTAAATAAGGATCTTAGGCCCTTTCTTACTTTGTTCTTGGGACCTATTACAAATAAATATTTAAAACTAAGATGTTAGATCCGTAGATAAATACAGATAATCTGTTTCACACACTTTAGGAGCGCCAGCTTCTCCACCATGTCTGCATTCTCTTTAGTAGTTCTTTACCTGTGCATACACTTGTGGTATTGAAGTGTTTGCCACCTTCAGAGTGGATGGGGCCCATACACCTCAGAACCCTCTGCGAGGAAAGAGCTGAGACTGGACTCCGTCCAGAGCTGTTTCCTACGTTTCCTCTACTGGCAATCCAGCCTGTTTGTTTCAAGCTGGACGTGTCTGACTCGTTTGCTCCTTTTTTTTCTGAACAAAGTCAGACTGACCCGCTGCTCAGAACCATCTTTGCTGACTGGCTGGGGTGGAGGGAGGCGTTCCTGACTAGCATCTGTCTTTCATATGCAGATTTTAAGGGAAATGCTTTCTAGTGTCATGTCAAGGCTTCCTAACCAAGGCTAATCTTTCTTCTTTTTCTTAAAATTTGGATTTCAAGGCCTGACAAAGCAGAAGATTGCAACCAATCCTGGCACTTTAACTTAAATGAGATTCAGGTATTGATCTTTTTATTGTACTTCTATTGCAAATAGAATGTTGAACTAAATGAACTTTTTCTTCAAAAGTGTACCTTCACAGTCATGTTTAAAATTACAGGCTACAGAGTGAGTTCCAGGAAAGGTGCAAAGCTACACAGAGAAACCTTGTCTCAAAAACACCAAAAAAAAAAAAAAAAAAATTACAGGGTCAGGAAGGAATTCCCTAGAACTGAGGCCCTGGGTCTGTTCAGTAATTACTGCTATCTACCACAACCCCAAAAAGTCAAAAAGGAAAACCAAAACCAAAACCACTTTTTCCTCCCTGTCCTCAGTCTGAGTGGGTGTTGAAGCAAGCTCAGGGGGCGGCAGATCCTATGTGGAGCTAGTCCTTAGCCCTGGGCCTCCGGGTCACAGTGGGCCCTGGGTCTGTGTGGTGAGAGACAGCTGTGAGCTGGAGAGCAGGCACCTGGTACCCAGGCTGGTCGTTCTGGCCACCGATGGCACGAGTTTCTAAGCAGGAACTCGGAGCAAGGGGGAAATGGTAGGCCTCTTCAGTATCAAAGGTCCTGATACAGAGCGGCTCATGGGGTCCTAGGTCAGGACTAAGTTGTGAGCTCATGAGATTTGAACGGAAGTGCCCCTGAGATCCTCGTGGCATATTGAACCTACCCCTACATGCTCAACTCTCCTTAGGGGGCACCGACAGTTCCTGTGTTTGGTCACATGTCACGGTGCCTGGGGTGTGGCAGGCCCGACAGGTGAATTCAGAGAGCCGCAGGTTTTGTTGTTGGGGGATGGGAAGAGCTGTCCTTTGCCCAGTGTCTGAACATGCACACGCTCCAGCTGTCATCTGAGTCGTCACCGGGTGCTCACCGTGCTGTCCGAAGATTTGGGGCCAGTGATGGAGGAGAACTGCACAGACAACTTCAGGCTTCCCTTGTTTCTCCAGAATCCAGATGCCAAGTCTGTCTGTCAGGCCAGGTCCCCCAGGAAACGTGTTGAGGTGAAAGTAGCTAATGAGGCCGACTGTAGCTGACTACCGATAGTAGCCGACTGTAACTTATTAAAAGTACATTTTGGGGGTTCGGCTGGAGAGGTGGCTCAATGCTTAAGAGCACTGGCTTTTTTTTTCCCCCGAGACAGGGTTTCTGTGTGTAGCTTTGTGCCTTTCCTGGAACTCACTTGGTAGTCCAGGCTGGCCTCGAACTCACAGAGATCCGTCTGCCTCTGCCTCCCGAGTGCTGGGATTAAAGGCATGTGCCACCACCGCCCGGCAGCTTTTCTTACAGAGGACCCAGGTTCAATTCCCAGCACCCACATGGCCGTTCACTCCTGTCTGTAACTCCAGTTCTAGGGCTTCCTGACATCCTCACACAGACACACATGTAGGAAAGACACCGATAGACATAAAATAAAAATGAATTATATATTTTTTTTAAAAGTTCAATTTTCTTAAAACCAAGTTTACTCAGTTTCTGTAGAGATTGTAAAAAGGTGCCAGTAGCCACTATATTGCAAGTCATGACATTGAAGTACCAGGCAAAGTTTTCAGTTAGCAACGTTGAACCTTGGGTAAACTGCATTGGAAGTGATGCTGTTGCTGCATAAAGCTTGAACCCAGCCTTGAAAAGGTGATGGGAAAGAGACCAGTGAAAATGAGGCCAGGAGAAAGGGGGTGGGGTAGAGTACTTTCAGTGAGTTACCATTCCCCGAAGGAAGGGCGATCCAGAGCAGCAGGGTTGAGCTGCCCTCTGTGTTGCGGGTCCAGCAGGTCTGTAGTAGCCATGCCCTACAGTGTCTCTTCCAGAAAGTCCTGGTTTTCTTGTGTAGCCTTAGTGTCCAGTGTGGTGTGTCTCCAACAGGAAAGTGCCCTAGTTTGGCTGTAAGTTACATCATCACCCTGGGCTCTCCCCAGAGGTCTCACAGGTGTATGTGTGTGTGTGTGCGCGCGTGCGCGCGCGTGTGCGTGTGTGTGTGTGTGTGTGTGTGTGTGTGTGTGAAGCCAGCCTGAGGGAAGTGGCAGGTGAGGGCACATGAAAGGGACAGCAGACAGGAGGCAGGCAGGGCTGTGCTTACATGGGCAGGGAGGCTGACCGGCGGGATCTTGACATGTGGGGAGCAGGGGAAAGCCAGGTTATCCTTTTCATGTTCCTTCATCTGCATCCTTTACACTGAGTTCTTTGTCTGATGGTTGTGTAGACCCTGAAAAAATGAGCTTGAGCCCTTTGGGCCTGGAGTTACTGCCTGCCAGGTTAAGAGGGTATATATGGGCTGCCTTACTCAAAAGCTCCTCTGGAAGTCAGGGTCTTACGTTTGTTTGTTGCACAGTCCTTTGTTTTAGAGCTGTTTTCTAATTACAGGAAAACAGTGCAGAGTTCACACTGAGTGTCCCCCATGGTCACTGTCCGTCCACACTCCGATTTTCACAACTGAGCCTGTATTGATACCGTATTGTTAACTGAAGCACACAGCCTACATTAGAGTGCATATCTTGTGTTGTAGTTTTATGGGTCTTGACAACTCAGGGAAGTACCCAGGGGAGAGGTGCCACTGCCTAAAGTCCCGTGTTCACTTGTCCCCACCTTCTCTTGTCATTCCTGATATCCAAGGTCACCATGGGTCTCCTTGTGTCTCAAGATCTGCCCTTTTCCAGAACGTCTTGTGGTTGGTGTTGCACAGTACATGGCTCTGTTCCAGACTGCTGCCTTCACGCGTGGCAGTGCATTTAAAGTTCCTCACGTGTTTCTGGGGTTCAGAGGCCATTTCTTTCTTCATCATTCTCTTATGTTATTTTATTGTTTTTTTTTTTTTTTTTTTTTTTTTTTTTTTTTCAAGACAGGGGTTCTCTGTGAAGCCCTGGCTATTCTCGAACTCACAGAGATCCGCCTGCCTCTGCCTCCTGAGTGCTGGGATCCAAGCCATGCACCACCGATGCTCGGCCTTAGTGTTCTCTTTTAAGAGCTTGTGTTCTCACATGCAGCTCTTTAATGTGCAGAACAAGCACAGAATCATTGGCTCGGTTAAATGACCAGAGATTGAGTGCTTTTGTTTAGTATGTGAGTTTGTTAGGTCTTGGGTAAACTTTTTGTTTAAATCACATGTAGGACCTTTTGCTAGACATGAAGATCTACTGGCCCGATGTGATTCACCCGTCTTCTAATCGCAGCCGATTCTGGTAAGTCTGAGTTTCTGTTGGCCGTATGCATTTTTAGCACAGGTGTGAAGAATTTCTAAGGGTGTTCTGGATGGCAGCTTGTGGGAGGCACAGAGAACAGGTAAGACCCTGTCTCCAGAGGCTGAGCACTGCTTTTTGTCAAGAAATGACTCTGGTATGTAGCTTTGAATGCCTTTCTCCAGTGGGTTAAAAATGAGGTCAGGTGGAATTTATGTTAGGAGCTTGTTTTCTAATCTATTGTTATTTTATCCATTGCTTCATTTAAAAAGTCCAGTCTCCCAAAATTTAACAAATCAAATGCTTGCATATTTAAAAATCAATCCAAATTAGACACTCAGAGAGAGAGAGAGAAAAAATGAGAGAATGCCTTAAAGGTAGTGATCTCATGGTGACCTGGTTAGAGACAAGGTGAGAGTCTCACAGGGACAGTCTTCCTCCAGGTCAGCAGGAGCTGAACCTGGAATTAACCCAGTTGTTTGAAAAGTATTGTTTTTTTTTTAAAAGAAGATAAAATCGATTCAACTGAAGGTAATTTTTTTCTACATCTTTTTCCAATGTGAAAATTATTCATATTACTGCTAATAATATCTTTCCAGATATCTTAATTTAGACTAGAAATATTTCTGTGTAGAATTTTTAGAGGAATAAAAAGCTTAAGTTTGGTAAAATGCTTTAAAGCAGCAGAATGTAAATGATACCCCTTCCTGGATCATAGTGTTGAGTACGACTTTTTCTTGAGTGCGTGCTATTTTAGGATTCATGAACCATAATGTGTAGGTAAACAGAACACTCAGTGAAGCTTGGGTGATGAATAGCTTACTAGATCGGATCTCGGTTGTCCCACACACTGGATGCTTTCCCGCTGAGCTAGACTCCCAGTATTGTTGTTAATTCTGAGAAAGCGGCTCATTAAGTTGCTCAGGGTAGCCTTGAACTCACTTTGCAGCCCAGGCAAGCTTGAACTTTCAACTTAGTTTTTGAATTGAATTGAGTGGAAAGTCCTCACTTCAGACTTGAGGAGAATCCTTTATTAGAGGCTGACAGGGAATGGGCTCAGGTGGCCGTGGTGACAAGCCACCCTGCCTCCTCTTTGTTCCTTGGGTAGAGTCATGCCTGGGTTGTGCCCCTCTCTGGAACTCCCTGGCTCACGCATTGGCTCTGCAGAGGACCACACACTGTTGTGCGGTGTGGCAGGTGTCACAAGAGTGACATTTCCTTCTTTCTCAGTTAATTGGTTATTATTTGAGTATATTGGGGCTTTTGTTTGTTTGGTTGTTTGTTTTGGTTTTGGTTTTGTTTGTTTTTTCCAAGGCAGGGTTTCTCTGTATAACAATCCTAGCTGTCCTAGAACTCACAGAGATCCTCCTGCCTCTGCCTCCTGAGTGCTGGGATTAAAGGTGTGCGCCACCACACCTGGAGTACGTTGTGATTGTAGAGATGCCATGGAAGTGTTTGTGTTGGGAAGCAGGACAGGAGTGAGCAGTGCTCTCTGGAGAGGGTTGGATGTTGCTGGGGTCTGGGTCTTCTGTGACAGGCTCAGTGCATGTGACAGCTCGTTCTAGAGCACTCATCTGAGCATTCTCACGGTGAATCTCACAGGAAACATGAATGGGATAAGCACGGCACTTGTGCTGCGCAGCTGGATGCCCTCAATTCCGAGAAGAAGTACTTTGGGAAGAGCCTGGACCTGTACAAGCAGCTTGACCTCAACAGGTGTGTACACGTCTCACTGCAGGCTTTCTGTCATTGACCTGAGGCCAGGCTACTGGGAATGAGTGTGCAACACTCCTGCTAATAACCTGTGTGTTATGGTCCCTGAAAGTGGTGTGGTGGGCTCATTCCTGGGCAGTAATTGAGCCCCTGAAATGTTTGACCATTCTGGATTAAGACCATAGAGTGCACAGACTTAGGCTGCCTCCTGGTGTTGACTTGTCATTAATGAGTCAGCCCCTAGGAAGTGAAGACTGACAGGCATGCTATAACCTCTGAAAAAGTTGCTGCCTTAAGATCATTTCCGTAGAGACAATAGATCTTTATATCGGTTGTAGCGCTCCTTGGACAAGTGTGAGGTGGAGGAAAAGGGTCCTTTAAGCCCTAGAATGAGCCAAATCCATGTAGATTTTTATGGCCTGTCCTGACCTCAGTTCTGGACTTGGGGAATATATTGTCACCATACCAAGGTAGTGAATATGTAAGGCAAACATGGTCTGCAAGGCTAGTGGTCTGGCCTGACCCTTTTCATCTAGACATTTCTGTTGTGCCAAGTGTATTAAGTGCTTCTTATTTGTTTATTGTTTGAACTTGTTATGTGTTTATTAGTTTCGTGTGTGTGTGTGTGTGTGTGTGTGTGTGTGTGTGTGTGTGTGTAGATGCTTCTCTTCGTCCACCTTCACACGGTGGGCTCTGGGGATTGAACCCAGGCTGTTGGTTTTGTGTAGCAAGTGCTTTCACCTGCGGAGCCGTCCTGCTGGCTCTTGAGTGTTTCTCATTGTGACTGAGCGTCATAAGCCAGTGAAGTCTGAGAAGGGTGAGGAGGGCATCAGTGGGGAGCTCAGCCTGCAGTGGGCTGAGTGTAGACAGCCTCCAAAATGTGTGACTGAAGTCTTCGTCCTCAGGCAGGTGGTCCAGGAGTGTGGCGCTCTCAGGAGTGCAGTTAGTTCTCTTACCCCAGACCCTGGAGAGCTAGAGAGCTTGGTAGCCCCGCACCCCCATGTAAGGACAGGGAAATGCAGGCTGTGAGGAACGAGAGATCACCAGACAGCAGAGCTTTGATCTTCAGGTTCCCCGGCTTCTAGACATGTGGGGAATAGACGTCTGCCGAAAAGGAAGGCTTTTACGGTGTCTGCACACACTGCTTTCATTTGTACAGCTTGTTCTAGTCAGAGCAGTTCTCCTTCAGATGGGAATAACCCGAGATCCTTTGCTCATCAATCATCTTTAAGGTTCATGAATTAAATCTGCTCACAAGATCAATAAACCTCTGTTGGTTCTCTGCACACATGCTTTGCCGCTAACACAGAAAGACTCATGATGGTGTGTCGCCGTCTCGCACAGATAGTTTTCTGTGTCATTGTGATCAAAACACAGCTGGGATTTGAATCAGTTTATCTGGCAGTGGGAGAGGAGGGGCAGGTGCCTCTGGAGAGATGAAATATCCAAAGAATGCCCTGGAACGCCTGGAAGCCACCAGCCAGCAAAGCACAGGGTTGAGAGGCCTTGCGACCCTTTCTGACATAAGTTGTGCAATTTGGTTATAAGACCTCTTTAGATCTTATCCCAATGATACAAAAATCATGGTTGGTCAGTGCTCAGATTTTGGAAGTTCCTTTTGTCTTGTAAAAATTTGTGTTATTAAAAAAAGAAAAAGGTGGATGGTGGTGTGCACCTTTAATCCCAGCACTCAAGAGGCAGAGCCAGGCGGATCTCTCTGAGTTTGAGCCTGGTCTACAGAGTGAGTTCCAGGGCAGCCAAGGCTACACAGAGAAACCCTGTCTCAAAAAAAATTATTATTATTATTATTTTTGCATTATTAGGCTGGGTATGGTGGCACATGCCTTTGATTCCAGCACTCTACTCTGGAGGCAGAGGCAGGTGGATCTCTGTAAGGATGAGCCCAGCTTGCTCTGCATAGCAAGTTCCAGGCTGACCAGGGCTACACAGTGAGACCCTGTCTCAAAACAAAACATCCACATATCTGCATTATTAAGTACATATCCTAGGAGTTGCATACCAGTGACGGTAACAGACCCCCAGCATCGTGAGTTGTGTGTATAGTTTATTTAACCTGTGGGGTTTTCTGAGAACACACTATCTCTTGCAGTAAGGATAACACCTTTGGAAACCCTGACGCCAAAAGTGTAGGTTTTCCAGAAACCTGCTGGGCACTAAGAAGCCACTATGAGGAATCCCTGCAGGAAGGTCCATCGTGTACTTCTGGAGCACAGGCAGGTGGCTGTTAAAGAGAAGCTGCCATTCCAGAAAGGCTGACAGACAGACCCACAGAGAGCTGCTGCTGCCGAGAGTGGTCCCGGCCCGGGAGCCACACACTGTGGTATGAGTTGAGGCTAACTCACCTAACCAAATAGGAAAAGAAGAATAACGATTGTCAGGAGCTGGAAATGGCCTAAGTAACTCCTCTTTGCAGCCTTTGAAGCCTGGTAGTTTCTTCTTGTCAGAGACACACACAGAGCTTTTACCCTTGACACACTGCTGTCTAGACACAGCCACTCACTGGCTGTCAGCAAGTGAGCCCAGAGGCCTGCTAACTGGAAGGCACTCCCAGGTGGGTAGTGCTTGCATAAAATGTCAAAGAACAGTTGTAGAAGAATGATTACTCTCTCCAGTTCCTCCAGGACAAATGGAGAATCCCTGTCTGCTTCATAACATAAACAAGGTATCCTAACTGTAAAGGGTGCTACACATTTCATAATGTAAAGGCAGCCAGTCGGAGAAGCTGCAGAGCCGTGGGGCAGTTCTCAGAGCATCTGCAAGTGTAGACATGGGCTAGCCCTGGGCTGTCTTCACTCAGAAGAGGACACGACACAGCGTGGCCCATCTTTCTCTTATTTCCTGGCCTCTTGCATCAGGTGGAACAGTATGTGACCACAGGTGCTGAGCAACATTTTCCAGTAATGCCATTAAAAACAGCAGTAAAACAATCTAGTCAAAAATTGTAATAACATGTTAAGCTCAGTTTATCCAAAGCACTAAAGTTATAACTTGTAATAAATATTGTTTTGAAGTTGGAATATTTTATACTTCGTAGGAGCTCAGTGTTGATCATATACTGGCAGCCAGGGCAGGCAGTGGCACACTTACATGGATTTGGGGGTGTTTCTGGGGTTTCAGGGACCTTTCCTGCTTTCCCTTGCTGCCACAGACTGATGACGAGTGATGATGAGAGAAAAAGTTGCAGTCTCAGACCCACCCCCTTGGGTCACAATCCTGAACCACCCAGGAAATTGTGGGACCACAGAGAATTCCTTTGCAGTGAGTGGTCGAGGGACTTTTACAGTGTGCCTCCAGTATTTTTGTTTGTGATGAGAAACTGATAGAATTCTAGGCTCTAAGCATTTAAATTCTTGGAAGATATGGCCAGCACAGTTCTTCAGGATAAGCCTGGAGTCGCATGAGACAGGGTAATCTATGGTGCAGAGCCCATGTGGAGAGTTGCTTGCACAGGGTATGTTGCTGTGGATGGGGTGGTGTGGAGTATACCACGGTGCAGCGTCAGGTTCTGTCCATGCCTGTGTTGGTGGTGTGTGCCAGGGCCAGAAAAGAGGGGCTGGGAGCTGCCTCTTGGCTTTCTTGTTAGTGGATTTATTGCTGGAAGTCAGAAAAGACTCCTTTAAAAGCCTCTTAATTTTCACTGTGAAATCCAATGAAAAGAACAAAGTGAATGTACTGTCATAAAGCAGCTAATTTTAATTTTTTATTTCAGCATACTGCTAAAATTTGGGATCAAGCCGTCTATCAATTACTACCAGGTAAGGCTTACTTACCTTTAGCCTTCGTCTAGAATCTAGTGTTTGTCCCTGGGGACATTCGGAAGGATCCATTCATCTTGTGAGCCCCACCTGGGTCCTAAAGTGACCCAGCACAATCTACTTGAAATGGATTTTCCTTGAAGTGTTTGTGTTTGCGTATGAATGTACACTAAAGGCTGCTTAGGCCACTGACTCTAGGCACAGATCTGTGGTTCTGCCAAGTCCTCCAGGCCTCAGCACAGGGTACATTCAATGTCATGGTGTTTGAGGGTAAACAAACTGGCTTTTTATTTTTCATGTAAACTACATGACACAGGAAATAATGTCACGTCTTATTGACTAAGAAGGACATGTACAATGTAGATGCTTTCAATTCTGGATTATCTTTTTTGTTTGTTTGTTTGCCTTAGAGGGATGTCCCTCAAAAGCTTGAAATATACCTAGGCTCACAGGAGAGTTCGAAGACTGTTGCTTTAGAGCGATTCTCTGAGGTGGTTTTGTGTTTATTGTAAGGTGTGGCTCTAAAAACAGCTCCAGAGGACCATTTGGGACAGGGATGGACACTGCAGTCACTGCAGTGTGTGGACTGTCTGTAGGACTGTGTGCTCCTTTTCCTGGGTGATGTGTAGCTCTCCCTCTGTGGACAGTAGGGAGTTGGACCCTGGCCCTGAGGAAGGAACTTTGGCTGCCAATTAAGTTAGACCCTTCTGGGCAGCCTTCTGGGCATGAGGGTTTGTAAGGCTTCCCCAAGCTCACCTGGACTCCTGCTTAAGCTGATGGGCAGCGGGAGGTGGGGTGGGGGGTTTTTACAGTTTCACCTGGCTTGATGTTCAGAGATGGTATCCATGGTGATGGGAATGACAGCCTGCTGCCGAGCTGCCTCATACACTTGGTAAGGTGGCAGGAATACCAGACAGTGACTTGGAAAACTCCTCATCTAAGAGCATCTGACGTATCTGCAGGCTTTTAGCTTTGCATCCAACATCCAAGCCTGTGTCTGCTCATGTGCTCTATGGTGCATTGGTGCTGCTGGAGCCCTGGGAGGAACTGGTGACCTGGCATTTTCCAGAAGTTGGTGGCTGGGGTGCAGTCCACAGCTTGCATGGGTCCTGAGGTCCTTGGGTGATAGGGAGCACAGATGTAGCTGGAAGGTGAGAGCAGGTCTCTGGAGACCCTGGAGTAGAGGGTGCATGGCATGGGGACCAGGGTGGTAAGAGCCATGTCATGCTGTAAGACTTAGGCAGCACTGAGAAGTTCCTAATGAACCTGTGTCTTGAACAGTGTGCTGGTTGCCTGGTGCTAGAGACCAAGGACAAAGGGAGACATGACCTCTAGGGAGGGCCAAGGTTGTGCCATGTGGTAGCTGCTAGACTTGGCTTTGCAGGGCAGGCCCTGGCCTCTGTGGGACTCAGTAAGGGGAAGGGTGATAGGTGCAACCAGACAGTGTGAATTCGAGGATCAAATGAGGCAGCAGAAGGGGATAGGAGCGTCCTGTAAAACAAGTCAAAGTCCACAGCAGAGAGGACGGCGAGACGTGGGTAGAGAAGCATCTGTTAGAGGAGCCATAGCACAGAGACTGAGGACTGCAGATGTCCTCCTGGGAGGGAAGGAGAGGGAGAGGAGCATGCTCCAGAGTGGAGCGTGATGGGGGGCAGGGGTGGTGTTGACCCTATGGTGGACAAGTTTGCAGCACACATGGTCTAATTTTGTAGTTCCCTGATAGAAGGCGGGTGCTCTGAGGGACCATTTTTTTTTTTTCCTGTGGTGGCGGCTGTGCCCCTGCAGGGAAGGGAGCTGCTGGGGTGAAGGTTTGAGGAGTTGGTAGGCCTGAGGTGAAGCTTTGGGGAATCCCAGCAGTCAGTTGGCAAGGGTAGCTTTGGGGAAGGTAGCGTAGAAGAGAGAAGCTGGGCTAGGCTGGAGACAGGGAAGAACAAGCTACTCAGTGGAGAGGAAGATGAGCAGAGAGGAAACTGTTGGGGATGTTCGGACCTCCCTGGTAGAGCCTGGTAAGTTGGTAGTGGCTTGTCCTTCAGTGATGGTTCCAGGACATCCTCAAGCTTTACTCCAGGTCCTCTATGTGGGGGGTGCTCTTTAGAAATAAAAAAAAAAAATCAGTGAGTGTGTGAGCATTCTCCTGTTGAAGTTCATTGCTAATGCTTTTATTTAATATCAGCTTGCAGATTTCAAAGATGCACTTACCAGAATCTATGGTGTGGTGCCTAAAATCCAGTGCCTTCTGCCAGAACAGGTCAGACTTGCGCTTTGTCACCTCTCTCTCCCTGGAAAAGATGATTTCATTTTTCTGGTGCTTTAGTCTCCACTGTGGAGTTTCTGGGACAGAGTTACATTTGGGCATGTAACATGTATATAGTTCTAAGTTAAGCGTTTGTAAGTTTTCAAGATTTTTTTGTTTTGCTTTGTATGTTCACTTATTTGTTAGGTTTTGTTTTTGAGACAGGGTTTCTCTATTCTATAACTGGCTGACCTGGATCTGGCTGTATAGACCAGGCTGGCCTCCACCTTACAGAGATCACCTGCCCCTCTGTGTGCCGCCACACCTGGCAGTTTCTAAGCTTTTATGTTGCCACTCTTAATCACTTTAATTGTAGCATACTGTCTAATTTCTAGACAAAATTGTATTTTTTTCCAGCTTATAAATAAAATTGAAGCTGGGCTGTGGTGGTGCACACCTTTAATCCCAGCACTTCGGGAGGCAGAGGCAGGTGGATCTTTGTAAGTTTGAGGCCGGTCTGGTCTACAGAGCGAGATCCAGGACAGGCACCAAAACTACGCAGAGAAACCCTGTCTCAAAAAACCAAAAAATAAAAATAAAAAATAAATAAAATTGAGATTCCTCTGGCTGCTGGGAACTCTCTTGACATTGACTTTGCCAGGGTCCCCATGTGAGCTTTGGTCACATTTGGGTCAGTGTGCATCTTTAGAGTCACTTGGTGAGTTTTTGTTTTTTGTCTTCCAAGCTGAAAACACCTCCTCACCACAGGCTTGCAGGCCAGCAGAGGTGAGCCATGGTGACGGTGAGGAACAGGCCTCCACCCAGGTCCCCCCTGAGCACCAGCCCTCCTCTGTCTCTGTCTCTGTCTCTGTCTCTGTCTCTGGTCTGGAGCCGCTGCTTTTGTTATTGTCAAGTGCTGAAGCGCTGTGACCCCCAGATTGGTAATAACCCATGGTTTCTGAATTCTGAGGTGTCTGCCACTGTGACCCCCAGATTGGTAATAACCCATGGTTTCTG